ACTGTATAATGTTTGTCTAGAACCTCTTGATATGAGGGTGTAAATTTCTGGAGAGTCTGCTTCACGGCCTGACATGACGTGGGCCTGATTCCCTGTGAGAATGAGAATTAGAATTAACATTTGAACATTATTTCTTGTGAGAGAAAAGCAGCTGCACAGATCATGCTTAAGATGCATTGCTAGGACTGCTGGGATGGGACAAGCCTTGCCAAGGGAATAAGACCTCAAGGCTTCAGATGAATATCTTTCCTGGGAGCTTCTCGAGTGATAAGACCTTTTTCATGAGATATCCAAGGCTAGAGCTGAAGGATAGAGTCAGGTGAGAATGAAGGCAGGCAACAGCAGAGGTATTGCACCACACCACAACACCTGTGGGTAATCTTCCTATTATCCAAAGGACAGAGTTACTCCATGGCACCCATGACCAAGAGACAACTGGAGAGAAAACTCCTATCCTGGCATTTCAGGCTGCAGTGCTAGGCAGCTGGTGTCACTGAAATGTGAAACAGGAGCTTTGGACAGGGTTTGTGTCTTCCTTCCATTATAGCTATGTTTTTTATTCATTTAACTATATTGCCTGCTTGCCTGTGGGATTTTCCACAGTGTCCCTGAGAAAGTTGCACTATAAACACAAGGACCAATCAACCCAGATCAAGATGCACTGTCTCAGAGCAAACCCCTCCAATTCCAGCCTTTATAATACCATTGTGTAAGAGAAATTCCTGAGCTATTCTACACGTAAATTCAAGATAGCCTTCAAAGCCTGGCAGTCTATGAAATGCTGCATTGATGTTTCAATGTCTTTGGAAGCAGAGGGAAGCCTTGACCAGCACAACAACCTCAAGACATTGTACAGCAGATGACACAAACCTCAGATGAGAAATGATTCCTCATGGGAAGATGATTTCTGCTCTTGGAGAGTTCAATATTGGGTGTGTTAGTTACCAATCCTTCCTGCTCCTCCTCTTCCACTTAATGAAAAAACCTCACATTGTAGCACTCTGAGCTTTCACCATTCATCTGCCACTTCCCTTCAAATCTTAGAGAAAATTCATTTAGTAGGAAGATTCAGGGCTTTTGCACGATTGCATTTCAGGGGCAGCCAGCAGGAGAGAGATGCAGAAGTCAAAAGCATAAGAAGCTTCATGGTGCAGGTCTCCCCCTTCTGTTTATCACAGAAATACTCAAGTACAGGATGTTTCTTGCTTCTGTTGCCTGGGAGAAAAACCCACATATGAAAAATCAATAAAGAAACAAGCTTCTAGCAGGTCTAACCCCAAGCTAGTCAACAGAAGAGAGACTCCTGACTCTAGCAGTCAGGCTGACTTGGTGAGTTGGATATTTTTGGTTGAATTTCATCTGTACTGTGCTGTAGCACCTATACTATTCCCAGATTCTGTGTAGCAATGATGGGACCTTGGCAGAAGCAGTATTAGGGGACCAGAGGTGGACACATCGAAGGAGCATGATAAACTTCATCTTATTTAATATATTTCTCCAGCAGGATTTGTTTGCCTTTCTTGGACCTGTAATTCACCTGAAATGAAAAAGCAGACATTCCTGATGTTTTGTGAACTCAGACTGTAATCTGATTATCAAGTTTTTTATCAAATTTTGACTACTCAAGGGTGACTAAATAGTACAGTTTTTACTTGATCCTTCTCCCCGTGTGTAGGAAGAGCACTCATTATCCACAGAGGTATAAAATAATAACTTTTTTTTGTTTTGGTTTGTTTTTTTGGAAGAAAAACGTTATCTGCAGCCCAAGTTATCCATAAGTATTTTATTACAGTGAAGAGACAAAACCAAGATTTCCAGCCAAAATCAACAACCTTCAGAAATACAGTTGTATTCACCAACTTAGTCATCCTGCATGTTGCCCATTTGATTGGGTTTTGAACAAAACAAAGAACTGAAAAGAATAGTTTGTATTGCATTAGGATCTCTACCAAAGTCTGTAAGGGAAGCCAGAGAAAAAATTACTCTCACACTGGGAAGAATTCCACCTGTTCCCATCCAAATTATGTTTCCCTGTCAGGCTGGAAGCAGCTGATGCACTGGTTCCCATGGGAATATTTTCATCCTGAACAAAATACACATTTAAAGCCACTTCCTGAGTTTGTCCTATTTATTTTTTGTATTTTGTGCTGCCCTCTAACCAGCACAGAGCTGATATTGCATGAGCCCTTCTGCACCCCCAGACTTCAGTGCTGTTCCCAGTTTTTAAGGAAATTAAAGGTAACTAATGTAAGGAAGACATTATTATCTCCAGGACTGGGAAAGCCATAGAAGAGGTCCCCAGTGAAAAGGGATTTATTGAGAAGCAGGAACAATGGGAAATGGATTTGCTTGAAGAATTATGCTAAAGGCCTTGGAATTCCAAACAAAACCGTGACATATAAAAATAGGCTCACAAGATGTCTACAGTAAAATTCACTACCTGGAGATATTTCATTAATCCTTCTTCCTGTAATTGAGAGTTGATTATTAAAAAGCTGGTTGATTATGCATAGAAGAACACTTAAGTAATCAAAAATCACACCACTGGTGCATCCCAGTCCCCACTACAGACATCTCTTCCTATTCTGCATGGCCACAAAAAGAAATGGAGATAGACACTGACCACAAGCAGGCAGATTTTATAGGCACTTTTTCCAGCTGTTTCTTGGGATGCCTCAGAACCACAATTCTGTGGCTGTGAATCAGCCTTGAACACAGGGAGCCCATAAAGTTGCTCCATTGCATTCCTTTGTCGGTGTCTGAGTGATGTGAGGAATGGTGGCAACAACATGTTCCTGCGTCACAGTTGATGGCAAGTGAGAGAATTAGGCATGAAGCTGGAATTTGTGGACATGTCTGCACAGACTCATACAGGCAGACGTGAGCGTGCCTCGCTGTGCTATGAACTAGCCAAGTATCAACAAGATGGATGTGATTTTATTGTGCCAGATCTATATCCACCTCTATGGGTTTCTGTGATTATCTTCTAAGGTCTAGTTTGAATATTACCAATTCGTCTGCACAATCAACATTTCAGACTTACTTAAAAAATGTAAAAATAAAGACCATTTTAAATTTTTGGATAATTCAGAATAGTGGATTACTCCATTTTCTGTTGATGAAAGGAAGGCATTTCACTGGTTTAGTCCTAACAACTGGAATATTGCAGAACGTTCCTACACAGTTGTTTTTCAACTAAAATTAATTGTCTTTAAAAGTGGATCCAATGAGCCTTTAGCTTAAAGTAATGAATCTCTCTGTTCATAGCATAGATTTGAGCCAGATGTTTTACATTTTTCATGCCTGAGTCACGAGCAGAATGTCTGACTATTGACCCACGTTTTGGAGGGAATACGTCAAGAAATCCTTTGCGGTAACTGTAGTTTCCTGTCAGATGGAAAAATGCTGGAAACTCTTTCTCATGAACTTCTGTCCCTCGCTGGCTCTATTTCCTGTCCAAGACCTTTCTAAGTGGGTTGGCATAGTGACAAGCTTTATCTAATATGCAATCACTGATTAAGGAGAAAGGGAATGTCAGTGGCAGTTTAGACAAACTATAAGGAAACTTCTTTCTTTGCTCTCTTTTTCAGGCATGTGGTGAGAGAATCTAAATGCAATTTGTGTGTCATTCAGGCTAGTGTCCTCAGAGCAGTTATTAGCTAAGATTTCTTTGGTACTTGGCAATATCTGCATCTCAGATGCACTTGAGCAGATAAGATTTTGTAGTGGTAAATAAAAAAAAGCATTATTCTCTATAAACACAAGCACTCTGGGCACAAATAACTCTCTGGTCCTCTCTTAAGATGTACTTAGGAGCTGTTCAGACCATGTGTCTGTCCTCTCCCATTCACTGTATAGCAAGTTGCTTTTATAAATTAACATGGATGAATTTCATTACTGTACAGACTGTGAGCTCATGTAATGACAAGACCATTTAAACCCCTTAGAAGGCTTGGTCTAGCTCAGATCTAAGTTTCAGCTTGCAAAAGACACCAAACAGTTTTACAGGTATAAAGATAAGACATGACAGTCAGCATGGAAAGATAAGATGAAATATTAGGAAAAAAATTCTTTGCTGTGAGGGTGGTGAGGCCCTGGCACAGGTGGCCCAGAGAAGCTGTGGATGCCCAGTCCCTGGAATTGTTCAAGTCCAGGTTGGATGGGGGTCTGACCAACCTGGTGCAGTGGAAACTGGCCCTGCCCATGGCAGGAGGTTTAGAACTAGATGATCTTTAAGATACTTTCCAACACAGGCCAATCTATGATTCTATGATATTCAGGGAGAATGAAGTCTTCAAGGATCTGAGCTTGACCAATCCTTTGCTGGTGTAGAGCCAAGTATCAGAACTTTTATTCACTAATTTCTCTTGTCCCCAAAAAGTTAATGGTGAGCAGGAAGGTGAACTAGAAGAATGGAAGAAAAGTTGAAAACCTCCAATAGCTCCGCACAGGTGTTCAGAACATACTGCAATCACACCTTTTCTAAAACTTGTCACATAGCTTTTGCCAGCAAAACAAAAATAGTCACAGAATCACAGAATACTTTGGGCTGGCAGAGACCTGTGAAGGTCATCTAGTCAAACCCCCTTGCCATGGGCAGGCCCACCTTCAACTAGATAAAGTTGCTCAGAGCCTTGACCAATCTGACCTTGAATGTTGCCAGGGATGGAGCATCCACCACCAACATAAAAATTTTCTTCTGTAAATCTTGACTCAACCCACCCACTTTTAGCTTAAATTCCTTACTCCTTGTCCTCTTGCAACAGGGTCTGCTAAAACATCCCCTGGAAGGCCATAATAAAGTCTCCCTGGAGCCTTCTCCAGGCAGTAATGACATGTTTTTCAGTGCCGGGGGTACAACTGCACGGAGAGGCTCTGTAGCAGCACCTCGGTGTGGCTGTGGCTGCAGGGCTGGCAGCAGGAGACATCTAGTGGTGTTCAGCTGTAAAAATAAGAATAAACAGCAGCCGGTGCATCATTCTCTTGTCTCCTTTGTTCAGGTGCTGCAGGAACAGCTGTGTGCTTTCAGGAAGCAGTTTTAACTCCTGCAATTTGCAGCTCCACGACATCTATCTGCATTGCACAGAAGTGAGGTATTTATGTGCGCAAGCTAGAGGTGAAAGTTTTAATTTGTATACTTAGGTGTATGTGGAGGAGGAAATCTACTAGAAACTTGTCTTTTAATGAAGTTGTGAACCAAGCTGATCAAAAAGATCGCTTGTAGTTTTTTCTTACAAAATTACAAGGCTGAGGTATACCATAAAACCTTGAACTAAAACTAAATAGTTGCTAATAACACATAAAATTATGTTACCTCTTAGGATGAGGCACTGCTGCAAAAATTATTTGTTTATTTATTAAAAAATGACTTTGAAAATGGAAGTGCAATGAAAAGGCTGCATTGGTTCTTTTTTAGGTGTGTAAAGCATACCTTTGGGATGGATTTTCAGCACAGTGCCCCTTTGGCACATCAAGAATGATCCAGAAAAGCACAGGATTATGAGCCTGAAGTTGAACAGGTACTTACATGCTTTGCTGAACTAGGGCCGGAATGCTCAGTACTTCACTCAGTCAAATCTCAGGCACAAAAATAACACCAAAAGGTCAACAGAAGTTCAAACTGTGTTCTGAGAATTTATTTCTATACTGCTGGAAAATAAATTTGAGTGCTGATCAGAAAACAATCCATAGGTTAAAATCAAATGCATATGTCTTTGGTAAAGTTAATGTTATGAGCATGTCGTCAATTTTGCACAGAATATTCAGCCTGGTAAAGTAGAATTTTTTTATATTATCCTGTTCCAGAAATGAAAACAGTTTGACATTTGATCGCCCAAATTGTCAAAACTCATATAAAAACATTTTTCTTGAAGTCATTGTTTTTCCTTTTGTTTGTTATTTTTTGAAAAAAGAGAAAGAAAAAAAACCCACTCAACTCAAGTTGCGTGTTCCAGTGCTGGCTCTTGCATATTATAATTTTATAAGCAACACTTTGTTTGGATTGAAATATTGATTTATCATACTAAGAGAATCCTCCACCCAAGTAAAAGAAAGTGCCAAACATCAGGGTACCCTAAGCCAAAAATTTGTCATGTGAATGATGTTCTATGACACCACTCTTAAAAGACCATCCTTCTCTTTTTTCATCTGATGTCCAGTGTCTCTTGCCCTCCCATCATGAATCATTGTGACTAGCCTGGCTCTGTCTGATAACCTCCTCATATATATGTAAAGGCTGCTATTAGGTGCCCCCAAAAACTACTCTTCTCCGGGCTAATCAAGACTGTTTTCATCTGCCTCCCTTCACAAACATGCCCTCCATGCGCCTGACAATTTTGGTGGCCCTCCAGCTGACCTGCCCAAGTTCATCCCTTTTTTTCTTTTGCTGGGGGCCCCAAAACTGGTCACATCACAATATTCCATGTGTGGTCTAACACGTGATTGGTAGAAAGGAATAATAATCCCTTCCTTCCAGTATTTTCTAGCTACACTCCTGTTAGTACAGTACAAAAACTTGTTTGTTTTCAGTGCTGCCAGGGCACATCACTAACCTAAATCTGGGTTCTTGTTGTTCCCCAGTCAGTCATGTCCAGCCTGCACCATTCCAATGAATTCTTCCTTCCATGGGGCAGGACTTTGCAGCTTTGTTCACTTTAATACGGTTCCTGTTGACCCATTCTTCCAACCTGTCCAGGACCTCCTGAATGGCAGCCCTGTTCCCAAGCATGCCAACTGCTCTTCCCCCGATCCTCCCCTGGCTTAGTGTACCTGCAAAGCTGATAGAGTACATTCTGTCTTCTCTTCCAGGTCACTGATAGGGATTTTGAAAAGGATACATCCCAGGACAAAGATGTGGCTATCTCCATGTGTAAGCAGCTTCCAAGAAGAGTACAAACAAACCCTTCCCTAAGAGTCTTTGAACCTGATGGCCCAGCTGGTTCGGCCTCAGTTATCCACTGAGTCAGACCTTAAGAACCCAGCTTGAAAGGAATGATGCTGAGACTGTATCATAAGCCTTGATGAAGTCAAGGTAGATAACACCTTTCTTTCTTCATTCTCAGACCTGGCTGCATCATCTTAGAAGTTAAAAATTGTCTAACAATAGGCAAACCCATAAAATATATATGACCTTTCTGTACTATCTTGCTCCAACACTGAGTCACTTAGATGAACAAAGTAATATTGGGTTCATCTTCTTCCTGTTATGAACCTGGTACACAAGCAAAGAGCTGACATAATGTCAATTTCTGTAGTGAATGAGGCAATTTATTTCACTAGAAGGCCACTCTGGAGACCCTGAATCATGGTTGCAGTACCTTCAACAGAACATTTGTATCCCTGTATCTCAACAGTGGTGCTTTTTAATGGACATAAAGAGACATTAATTCCATAATTTGCTTTTCTTTTTAGTTCTTGAAATAAAAACTCAGTAACAGAAAGGTGGGCTGGGTGGACAAGCCACAAACGAGGCTGAAAATTTTAACAGACAATCATAGAATGGCTTGGGTTGGGAGGGTATTTAAAGATCATCTGGTTCCAACATCTTTGTCATGGGCAGAGACACCTTACTCTAGACCAGGCAGATGAAAATCCCTTCCAACCTGGCCTTGAAAACCTTCAGTGGTGGGGCATCCACAACTTCTCTGGACAACTTGTTCCTGGGTCTTACTGGAAAATAGAAAAAAAAAAAAAAAAAATATAAAGCATAGGAATGAAAGAGGAGAGAGAAAAGAAACGGGAAACACTAGGAAAGATGTTCTCAGTCTTGTCTGTGAATAGGCAGCAGCTCGGCAGCAGGGCAGGGCATCCCTCCGGCTCAGCAGAGCCCAGCGCAGCCCGGCGGGAGCTGGTTCAGCACCATGGCCAGTGCCCGCCGCGTCCCGAGTGGGGCTGGAGGGATGCTGAGCTGCGGGGACACCCCCTCGGCAACAGGGGAAATACCTCCTCGGCCTCTTCCGCAAAATCCACACGGCCTTGGCTTCTGAGGAACATACGGGAGGGACTTAGGTGTGTCTGCGGGCCTGGGCTGCGCTTTCCCTGCTGGGATGGGGGTGTTAGCTTTTAAGCATCCACACACGGACCAGCTGCAATGAGAGCTGTTTGTAATTCTCTGTCCCCAGTGATTTCTTGGCTTGGATTGAAAGTGCCTGCAAAACTCTTTGGAAATGTCAGGTTACTTTGCTATGACATTTCTTTCTTTTTTTTTTTTTTCCTCCACTTTCACTGACAGTGGCTTATAACTGCTTGCAGTGCTTTCTCTGGAAGAAAATGGTGTCCATGAGAAAATCGGTGGTGGACTTTTGAGGATGTGATCATAAATAGATGTTAGGAATTCATGACGTCCCAGTTCATTATATGTGATTAATTGAGAGATGATGAAAGGGGAAAATAAAGGTCTGCAACATGGGGGACATTAAGACCCCTGAAGGTTTGATTTATTAAATTCACATGTGTAGAGTCCTTTCTAGTTCTTTTCCATTCCTTGGTGGCTATCAGGTCTCAGAGCCAGACTGGCTTCTTCACTCCCTACAAGTGATGGTTTCCTTCACATAACTTCTCAAGGAATTAAGCTCCTTGTTTTTAAATGGCTACTACTTGGAAAGCTGGTAAATCCTGCTTTAGAGCTTTGGTGTCCTTCCATCTTTATAAAACTCTATGAAAATCAACAGGAGTAGTGCCATGAATTAATATAGGGTCTTCATTCCTGAACCTCTCCACAGACCTCCTTGTGAAGACATATCTTGCTCTTGCAAAGACTTAACCATCCATCAGATTTTGGAGACCCCCAGGAATGAAAGCAGTGCACTTTCAGACTTCCTGTGCTATTACAGCCTGTCTCACCTTTCCTGACACCCTGTCTTTGCAGGGAGCACTCACTTTCCTCCATCAGCACGGCTGCTGTCCATCTCTAGAGCTCTAAGAGACCTCACAGTCCCGAGGAGGCTGGAGCAGGGCAAGAAGAGGGATGTGACTGCCTTTACCCCACCACACGAACCAGGGACTGCAGGGAACAGGTGGAACAAACATCCCTCCCTTCTCGGGAGCTGGATGGCCAGCGAGGACCTGCTGTTGGCCTCCCCCCGGGGGCCGGATATGACAGCCCACCCATCACCCTCTGTCTATGGGGACACCCCTCGCATCCTCCCCACAGCAGCAGTGGCGACAACACCCACATGGCTGGGGGGCATGGGGAGGGGGCTATGACTCCCACGCCAGAGCCTTGAGGACATGGGGACACACACATCTTCCCTGGCCACCGCAGCTCCCTCCTCCCCGCGGGTCCCATCCACGCTCCCACCGCCGGCCCCCTTGCTGCTGCTGCCCAGACCTCACCGAGGGTGGGTGCATGGGACTGCATCCTTCCTTCCTTCCTTCCTTCCTTCCTTCCTTCCTTCCTTCCTTCCTTCCTTCCTTCCTTCCTTCCTTCCTTCCTTCCTTCNCTATAAGTGTTTTCCTCCCTCCCTTCCTCCCTTCCTCTTTTTCTGTTTTTTCACAAATTGAAGCCTATTCTGCTGGAAGAGAAAGTTTGGTGGGAGCAAATCCATTTTAATTTGAACATTTGGCAAAGTGGTGTTCTTTGGCAAAGGCTCAATGCCTCACGTTGGTTCTCCTTTTTCACAGGCTGGGCTCTGCCATACATAAACCAGGTGTTTACACCCTGTAATTATGCATGAGTGTAAGAGCAGGTGCCTCCAGCTGGCCCCCGCTTCCCTCCCTCCCTGCTCATTCCCCACAGTCAGTATGGGAAACTGCCAGGGATAAAGTGATGAGGACATACACAGAATGCAGTGGTCCTTCCCTGGCTCCCAAACCAACCCTGGCCTCCTAAGCCAGCAGCCAGGACAGAAAGACAGCAGACATGCTAACAGCTCAGTGCAATTCACCTGGCAAACCCAGTGGAAGAGAAGATCAGTTTAGACCCTTACTGCTCTCTGTGATGCCTGTTCTTAGAAAGTGGAATTTTGTGGTTTTTGTAACAATCGGCCAGTCAAAGCATTGTGGTTTGAGCAGGAAGAAATTGAGTGACATGCTTTGGAAAACGCTTATAGAAAGTGGTAAACAGAGAAAAATCTTTCCTTGATGCTGTATGCACTGCTTGGACTATTAAACTGGCTGAGGGAATGGTATAGATTTGTTGGTGCACCATGAGCCACTCCACAGGGCTTGCACCTACATCTCAAGTGCTGTCAGTACCAGACCATCAGAGAGCTGAAATTCGGAGCATCTATTAGAGAAAACACCACTGTTCAGTGCTACCCACAGAAATAATTTTCTGCATTGAAATAAATCCTTTTTTGGACTAATTTGTTCTGGAGGTGGTTGTGGTTCTACTCATGCTGATCTGGCAGCAGGTTAAAGGGTCTTAATATTTAAGAAAAAAAATCCTGTACATACTTTATAATAAACTTGAATGTCATAGTGCACTATTTTGACAAGGAATTAAAGATTTCAGGATGCTGCAGTTCATTCTAATGGAGCAGATCTGAGCAGAGTGTACTGTACTGGCTTCCTATAATCTTCTAAATCGGTGATGACATGTTCAGTGATTTCACTGGGGCCAGGACTTTGCCCTACTATGTTAACTGGATGACTCTTTCCAGACATATGAGTACAGTTGAAAATACAGAGGATAATTCAGTGGTATTTCTACACTGCCCAAGAAAGCACTGAGCATAAAAAGGCACCAGTCCATCCATAGAGAGAGCTTAGCTGCCCAGGACGAGGTGGCTTAGCCCAGTTACAGCACCAGAGTGACAGAGCTGAGCTGATCCAGGTGCCTGGGCCAAGCTGTCTGTGCTGCCCTCCATGACACACAGAGTTTTGCTCTGCTCTATTTCATAATAAAAGCTTTTTTTATTAAAAAGTTTCTGCTCACCTATTTGCATGATTCCTAGAAATAACTTTATGTATTTATGTATTATGTAATCTATATGTAATGAACTAGTTTATTTATTCTGGATGAATATAGTGCTCTGGGAGCCATAAAAACAATGAGTTTTAGAACCATGGAATCATTTAGGTTGGTAACATTTTTAAGATAATTACATCCAAATGTTAATCCAGCACTGCCAAATCCATCAGCAAACTATGTCCCTAAATGCTGCATCTACACATCTTTTGAATACCTTCAGGGATGGTGACTTCATCACTTCCCTGGGCAGCCTGTTCCAGTGCTTGACCCTCCTTTCCATCCTTTCCATGAAGAATTGTTTTTTAATACCCAATCCCGCTGCAACTTCATCTTGTCCTATCACTTGTTGCACAGGCAGAGGGACCATCCCCCACCTCACCACAGCCTCCTTCCAGGGGTTGTAGAGAGCAATAAGGTCTCCCCTGTCCCTCCTTTTCTCCAGGCTAAACACACCCAGCTCCCTCAGCTGCTCCTCACCAGACTTGTGCTCCAGACCCTTCCCCAGCTCTGTTGCCCTTCTCTGGACACACTTCAGCCCCTCAATGTCTTTGTTGCAGTGAGGGGCCCAGAACTGAACACAGGATCTGAGGTGAGGCCTCAGCAGTGCCCAGTACAGGGGACAATCACTGCCCTGGTCCTGCTGGCCTCACCATTGCTGATCCAGGCCAGAGTGCTCTTGTACATAAGCCAGAATGTTTGTTTTTTTTGCATCTCAAGGCTGTGCGCTAACATGTTAAAAATTGAGGAGTTTCTGACATCCAATCATCTGCTGAAGGGCATCCCAGAAGCAAGAATCTCTCATTGCTTTGAAACCATATTTTTTGACTTTCCAAGGTATTTTAAAATTACCTTGTGTCAATCCTTAGTTGGCCTGACTCATGCAAATCAGACTTAGGTAAGTGAGCTGAGAGTGCAAAACTCTTCTATCCCTATGTATAGCCTCTCTCAGCTGCCACCACATTTTATGTGTGATCTATATCCCACAACACCCCTTGCAATGAAAGGAGAACTTTCCTGTAAGAGTCCTGGTACCTCCTTTTCCTTGGTGATATGTCCAAGGTCATATTAGAGGTTTGTGTAGCATAAGGGAACACCAATGCTGCCAAAAAAAGAAGGACCAGAATTCAGGCTCAAGCACAGAGCACTTGGTCAGCCACGCTGCTTAGCTGGTAGTCCTGTCCCTGTGTTATTCTTGCTTTTCAAGGATGTCTTAGGAGCAGCCACGTACAGTGAAAAAGAATTTCAGCAGTATATCTTGATTTCCTCACAGAGAAGTGTCTTTAACCAGAGATGGTTATTTTGATGACCACTGTGGATTTAGAAGTAAATTCAGAAATCTGTAAACTATTAAACTTTTTTAAACTATGAAAAGACAGAAGAATTTTTTGTAAAATACAGCAGATTAATTACATAAAGTTATCTTTTATATTTCTTTTGTATTTTAAGAAAAACATCATA